CCACGAGGCAACCATTATGTCATAAATTGTGTGTCCTCCTGCTATGCTGAACCATGAATGTCCTGCACTTTTGTTTTGATCATGTTGTGCCACTTGGAATGCAGCTGCGCCAGGATCTTCGGCCAAATGAGTCATCGACTGTGGAAGCATTTTACATCGAGGTGTGCCAAAAAATGCTATGAGTTTCGGGCTGCCTTTGGCATATCATGAATGGATGTGACCGTGTCTTCCAGCACCCCTGCCCCTTGAGCCGAAATGTCCAGTGTCCGAAGGATGATGAGCAGATAGATCCGTTCGAAGAAGAATCTTTAGAGAGTGAGGGCGAGGCAAGCGCTGGATGGAAACATGTGTTGAATCTTAACCGTGCCATTTGCACAAGACCGTGTTCAGGAAGTGGAGCACTTCTTTTCTCACATGCAGGCAGTTCATACTTTGGAGTGTGAGTTCTGGATTCTGGAGAAAGCAGGGAAGGACAAGTAAGCTTAATCACAGTCATATCACATTCATATATGGTTTGCCAATCCTTTGTTGGAACGTGTGTGCCCAACTCTATCCGATTCATTCAGCAAGCACATTCCTAGCGATCCGTTTGCACGGTGAACTTGTTTTTGCTTTCAAACGCAATTTGTTCTTGATTGTTTCGGTCTCCAGCTGCCGTTTATGTATGGGGCCCCATATGGTTGCAGCCTTCCACAAGTGACACGAGCGCCTCGTTGCTATGTCTTATCTATGCTTGTAGCCCAGCTTTTGCACACCGATGCATTCTATGGCAATCCTATCGCAATGTATTTGCTTTTGTGGCACCAAAGTTTCTGCACTGTGGCCAGCGCCAAGACATTGGATGTTTATATACAGTTTATATACATTGTAAGCCCTTCGCACAAATGACACAAGCACACTCAAGCACTAGCGGCTTCTTTGTTCATGCAGCTTCCAGCTGTCCCGAACTGAGTGGCCCATACTCGTCCATACTTGTTTGCCAAAGTTGCTTTTAGTTCACCTCTCAATTCCGGGTTTGTTCATGTTTATTCAACATCAACTCGCTAACCAGGCAAACCTTGTAAGGAGAAGTCTGTCTAGCTAATGAAAGTGAAAGGTAACCGATGGCGACAAGGAAAAGGTCTGAGAGCTTTGCGGGGACCTGTGGGTGTGTGCTCCAAGGCTAGAATCTACTAGAAAGGTGCACAAAATAATAGCGTCCTTGCTCCTAGTAGCGATGCCAGGAGCCCCTACTAGCGTCCTTGCTCCTAGTAGCGATGCCAGGAGCCCCTAGTAGCGTCCTTGCTCCTAGTAGCGATGCCAGGGAGCCCCTAGTAGCGTCCTTGCTCCTAGTAGCGATGCCAGGAGCCCCTAGTAGCGTCCTTGCTCCTAGTAGCGGTGCCAGGAGCCCCTAGTAGCGTCCTTGCTCCTAGTAGCGATGCCAGGAGCCCCTAGTAGCGTCCTTGCTCCTAGTAGCGATGCCAGGAGCCCCTAGTAGCGTCCTTGTTACTACTAGTAAGGCACTTGTTTCTACTAGCTTCTTGTTACTACTAGTAGGGCACCTGTTACTACATCCAGGAAATGTGGGCCCGAAACATCGAACCCGTACGGTAATATGCACTGTTGGCTGGGACACCACCGACCACAGCATGAATGAACTGTCACAAGCCTAAGCCCAAATGATAAATGGTCCACTACAAGAGCAGGGGAAACACGTCAAAATAGATTCAGTATGATTCAGTGCTTATCATGAGCCCTTCCTCGGTTTCTTCTTGTAACAGAGCCATGGTGGACTGTAGGTTGTATCACGAGCCTTCTGCCGTTGGTGTCACGTTGGGATTTTTGTGGGCAAGCCCGCCAAGGATGTCAAAGGATGTCATGGTCCTTGGTCATAATGGAAATACTGAAGTACTTCCTTGCTGCGCTGCAGGCTAGCCAACAACCTGGACATGATTCACCACAGGTGCAAGCCAAGTACAGTTGGTTGAAAAAACGGGGGCAACTAGAGTCTTTACCTTACTCGAGACATCTCGAGACCTTTAGCTCTCAAATGAGCCTGAAAGTTGACGCAGGCACGTGATTTATTGACACATAGACGGTCATGTCTTTGGTTTGGAGGTGCAACCGATCTCCACCCTGGATCAGCCCAAACCAACTGCAGGACACGCAGCAAACCTGGCTCAAGAGGCTGGAACAGTTACTGTAAATACTCTGCGATACAAATCAATTGCATCAATTTGCTCATACATACACATTATACATATACATATGTATATATATTATATAAATATATAACTGTGCAACTCTATATGCATATATACCTAATATATTTAGTATAAAACAACAATTGCCGTCTCCCCGGGGTGGAAATCTATGAACTAAACATATTCCGGCAGCTCCGTGACCAGGTTGAGCAACAAGAGCCAGCAGTGCAGCCATCGACCTTACCAGCAGAGCGTGGAGATGCTTCCCACGAGGCAACACATGTATGATTTTGTTTGTTTGACCAGGGCCTGAACAGATGTACAGTATGGGGCTCACAGATGGTTTGTTGTTTTATGCGCCATGAGTATCTTCAAAAGAGGCTCCAATGATGGTCCCAGGCACCTCACTTTTTGGACTCATTGCACCATATAGAGGACGCTACTAGTAACAAGGGCATCGCCCACTATTAGTAACAAAGGGCATCGCTACTAGTAGCAAGGACCCTACTAATAGCTCCTGGCCTTTACTACTAGGAGCAAGAAGCTACTGGTAACAAAGGTCATCGCTACTTGTTAAGTTTCCCTAAAAATCTAGGAACCAAATCATTAGTACGAGCGCTTCTTCAAGGAACCTACCCCACCCTTTTTTTGCAGGACCCTGGACTCCCTGGACCCAACGAGTCGTCAACGGTGGAAGCATTCTACATTGAGGCGGGCCCAAGAAGTTGGGCTGCGGCGCTTGTGGTTTGTATGGAAGGGAAGTGGCAGGTACAGGGAAGTACGTGTTTACAATCAATGCCAATCATACAGGGTGCCAGTGCTGCAATATATTGCATTTGTTTTTGGGTCACCACCCAGCGAAAGTGCGGCTTTTTTTGCGTCATGGACAGCACATCATCAACCACACAAAGACACATAATTACGCGTACTCTCGCGTACTCCATTTTGCGTTGCTTAGACTCAGACCACTTAAATTGGACTTGTTCCACACTTGAGATCGAATGAAGGTGTGTAATTTTGCAAGCAGCACCTGTAGCCTGGAATACATTTCTCCAGGATCGGTCTTGCAAAACAAACAAAGGGGTGCATTAAGACAAGCCCCACATCCACTAAAAGTTCTGAGACAATATTGGTATGCCCCTTTGCGATTGGAACCGTCGGTATAAAAAGATGTGAAAGCCCGACATAGCAACCGGCTCATTGCACCGGGCGGCTCATACAGCTCAGCAACTCCAAGCGGCCAAATCCAACCTGGACCTAGTGGCTTCTTGATTTCTTGTTACTAGTAGTAATAGTCTCCACCCTGGTAGCGTAACTCAAGAGATTTTCCTGTTGCATGTCTGGGAGGTCTTTCACCTTAGCATTGCGAGAGAGTTGGCGCGCCATTCAATCTGGGACAGTTCTCGAGCATGGACTCCTGATCTGATGTAAGCACATAATAAGACTTTGTTTACCCCTCCCTTAGCTGGTTAAGTCGGCCTGAATCTTTGGGCATGTCGAGACGCCTGCCGGGTATGGTATGGATGGCCTGTGATGTTGCTGCCAAGGCAACCTCTTCCAATTTCTTCTCTTGTACCCAGCGTGGGAAGTTTCCAGACGGCAAGAAGCCAGACATGGGAAGCTCCCAGCCTAGGCTCCACGCGACCTTAGCCAGCCATCTTAGCCCATCATAGCAAAACTAGTTCCAGTTTTTGAAACGCATTGAGGCAGGATGAAACAGGCGTGGAAGCCAGCCAATCCTATTGCTACAGCCTTAGGGGAACTAGTTCTGCGCGCAAAATGGCTGAGAAGGGCAGCGGAGCTGTGAAAATTAGCCAGAAAAAACCTGTCACCACGTCCTTAGCCCATATACTTCTGCGCAAAGCAGCCGGGAAGGGTGGCAGACAGCACTGTCGAAAGCCACAGCCTGGGCCAAAGGGTGCAGTTGCAACCGTTGGTATCCCTGGCGCCGCCTAGGGAAAATAATGTGGCTTCTGCATGCATGATAGTGTGGAATGCCATAAGGAATCGACTGGTCGCTGGTCCGTAGATTCTTATGTTTCTTGCTGCAGGCACGTAGGTGCACATGAGTGACATGTTGAGAAGCGCGCAATTCCACGCCGGAGTACAGTACAGACTAGTTTGTCGAGTTGTCATTCTTGGCTAGATTTGCATTGTACCCCGGTTTTTCAGGCAAAGGCCACACAGACTTTGTTTATTTCTGGGTCCGTTTATCCAAGACAGTCTATCCAAATGTATTAGTATACAAGCACATCAATGTGCTACTATTTAATCGGCAAAGACTTGGCATCACAGTTGCGGATTGAATCGTTGAGCGGACGAAGGACGAAAGTCAGATCGCCTCCTTCAATGAAGAACACATAGAGACTCTGTTAGAGTCTGATGAGGAGGCCAGGCGGCCATTTCCAAGACTTGAGCTTCTTGGTGCACGAAGTTGTAAGCTTGCTCAACTATAGCTTCGCCGAACCAATGACATAGTATCAATGTGACCTCCAGCTATTGACTGAGGGACAGCTTACAGATTATTTGCCTATAGATTATATAAGTACCTTTTGCTTGCTGATTGCACCCTTCACCTTGCATGCAGTGCCGCCATTTCTGATGCATGACCAAGTGCACCGCACAGCACCAACCAGTCGAAAGTGCAGATGTTCGACTTCCTTTTGACACATTGTTCCATTGTTGCGAAAATTTCCTGCACACTGCGGAGAGAGCGAGAGAGAGAGAGAGAGAGCTTGGCAACACGCAAACGCAACTGCTGTACTCACCTTGAGCCAAACAAAGAGGACTTTATTGGGAATGCAACTTTTCGCTGCCATGGAGCCAAGTCTCCTGACATCAAGTCACCTCACTGCACTTTCCTCCTGCACTCCGCGAAGGAGGTTGCCTGGTACTGAAATTTTCTCGAACCTTGGCTTAGCTTCCTGCAGCAGTGAGATATGCTTGGATGAATGTGTGTATTTTGAATAAAAGTTGTGAGTGAATTAGGCCACGTTTGGCTACAAAGTCTACTGCCTTTTGGCTGCCTGCCGTGCCTGCAGCCGCAGCCGGCTTCAGAAAGAAAGTGCGGCTGCATGCGCAGCGGCAAAGGCCTTCCAAGCCTCTAGCTCAGCCGATTGCAAAGTCCACCAAGGCACTGGTGGCCAGGGTGACAGTTTTTACCCAGCCTGTTGCGATCTTGTGAACGGTGCAGTGCAGAGCACCTGTAGGGGAAGGACGATAAAGCTGGACCAAAAGGCCTCGACGAAGGCGGCAACTCCAATTTGAGAGAAGAGGACCAAGGAGTCTCCAACAGAGCCATCATTGTGTGCGTTTTGCAGTGACAATGTGAACCCTGGGGCTTGAAGGGGGTTGAACACAGCTTTTTCCACACCCATGCGGTATCAATATCATTGAAGTTTGGTGTTGTTACGTGTTTGTGTTGTGCCCCATGTTTACAGAGTTGTTTTTACTGGATGAGGCTCAGGAGAATCACAGGAGCGAAGTCAGAAAAAAGAAAGAAGAATGAAGGGGCTGCGCCACGCCGAGCTCAACCCTAAGGACGAAGTACGACAGAGCGGTCTTCAATGCTCCTCGATTTGGGTCAGAGAGATTCATTCTATAGATAATGAGAAGAAGTGAAAGTCGGAGATAGATACTGTAAGTATAAGTTCACCATACAACCCTGGTCGAGGGCATAATCCTGTTTGCAGGAGACGCCACGGATTGTCCCTGCTGTGATTGTTGACAAGGACTGTTGGGTGTGCCAACTTGCATCCTTGAGTCATAAGGAATCAGTCTGGTCCGTAGAAGTGAAGTGAGCTGCTTCACTTGTTCAATTGATGCACGTAAACTAAAATGTACTGTTTATAACATCACTCTCCAGCTGCTGTAGACTAGGCTAAACGTGCTTGTTTTTGCGGTCTAGGTGAGATGGACACCGGCAGTCAAAGGTGGTGGTGAGCATGGGAAAACTACGATCAAGGAGGCGTAGAAACAGAAAGGCTTGTTGAGCTAAAGTTTAAAGAGTTTTAATTACTTCAGTACTTAGGGAGGCTGCTTGGGGAAAAGGGCGGTATGAGCAATGGGCTGCAAACAGAGAGAGGGACCGGGAGACAGGGCGTGCAAGCAGAAGATGAAGCAGCGGACGAAAGATGACAGATGATGCGAAGAACATGCTGAAAAAAGAGATATCTACTGTAAAAACCGGAAATAGAAAGCAGATGGTATTCTCAAATGTTTTCACGCTTTTCTTGCAAGCGCATGCTGCTGAGTGCTGAAGCTGGAGGTGCTGGAGTCCGTGAGCTGGAGTGTCCATCGCGGGCAGAAGGCATTTGGTTGCTGGTTGTTTGCCTTTCTTATGGTTGGGAATGGAAGCCGCTGAACCAGTCGCATTCTCTACGTTAAATTAGGAGCAAGGATGTTGCCTTTAGGGATGTTTTGAAGGCAGAGTAGCAGAGTTTTTGACACTTCAGGTGGGCCTCATAGGGCCAAATGGCTGTGGAAAGAGCACTCAGTTGCTAATGCTTATGCAAGAGATCGAGCCCGGGAGTGGACGGACTCCCACCAGCATCTTTCACTTTTGCGTCTTCAGATTGCTCAAGAAATCGAAATCCCATATCTTGACCCTTGGCTCTCATCATTTGGGATACGCTTCTTCGAATTCCGTGAGGATCCTGAAATTCCCAGAGGACATGAAGATTGCATATATGCAGCAAGAGGCGGACTTGGACAACTCCAGGACTGCCTTCGAGGAGCTATTGGTGTGCCGCTTTCCTAACCCAAGCTTTGCAGTTACCTGAAATGCCCTTGCTGAACCAAAGATTGGAAGTCTTTGCCTATGCTTTGCTCAGAACATCGGAGGAGCTTTGTGCAGCCTTCAATATGCGACGCCTGGCCGACATTGACGCAGACATTGAGGCTTGCGCATCGGCGGAGGATTATTCAGATGAAGAGATGGCAAAGTACATCGAAGAGCGGACCGACACAGAAGAAGGCCTTGAAAAAGCCGAAACCATGGTGTCGGAGCTTGGACTGGACTCTTGACCACATTTGGATCAGGTTTTGTCTCGTTTTTCTTCTCAACCACGAATGAAATCTAGGTATTCGGTGGCTTTAGAGAGGTTATGGGAAGGTTCAGTTCATTGGTCCCGCAAGGATGCTTTTCGAGACACCTTAGTGCCGGAGCTATCTGGCGGATGGCAGATGAGGGTTGCACTTGGAAAGATCATTCTGTCCAAACCTGACATTATTTTGCTAGACGAGCCCACCAATCACGTTGACCTGGAGACGGTGGAGTTCATGGAAGATTTGCTGCAAAAGCAAGATGCTGCGATGGTCGTTGTTTCCCATGATAGATACTTTTTGAACCAGGTGTGCAATCGGATTGTAGAAATGTCTGACGGCACTTGCAAGACCTACTTGGGCAACTATGTCGCATACCTACAGGCTCGCGACGACGCTTTTGCCCTTGAGTGGAAGAGATACAATTTGCACAGGGACCGGGTGAAGGCCTTGAAAAAGAGGATAAAAAGATTGGAAGAGAGATTCTTGTTGGACGTCCTTGCTCAAAAGAAACAGGACTGAATTTGGTTGAAGCTAGCTTGGGTTGCTGGAGCGATATGTATATATATATATACATATATATATAATCATATATTATGTGTATATATATATAATCAATGCGTAAATAACAGCTTTGTTGAATCATGTCGAATCACTTCAGTCAGCACATGTCCTCAGCAGAATCTTCGCTCAATTGTTCCAGGATTTGGAAAAATTGCTTGCCACGGCTCCACCAAAGCCTCAGGTGCAAAGCGCTGAGAACTCATCCACACCTATTGAGTTTGAGAATGTTCCTCCCAAGATGGGAGATGATGGGAGCAGAGAAAGGCCCCAAGGTATCATGAGGTGGTAGCCCGGTTTTCCAGTTGCTTGTTCGCTGACACTTTGCACTGCGCCTTCATCACGGTAAACGCCAGGTAAAAGTCGTCAAAAACTTCCGTTTTCCTTGTTGCTTGCCCACTACTGATGACGAAGATGAGGCTCGAGCTTGCACATGCGCGACAAACACTAACACTACGATCAGGTCGCGTTCCAATGATCTCCACTTGCTCTCTGTACAGTAACCCTTGTTTAATGGTGCACCCATCCATTCGGCGGTTGATCAGCGCTTCTCGGCCAGAACCTGTGGGAAGACCAAGCCGAATTGCCCATCCTGCTCAAGGTTCAGAATTTGGGAGTTCGATTCGCTGACCACGCATTTGGGCTGCATTGACTCCATGGGTGCGAGTAGAGTTGCTAGTTGATCCAGGCTGATATAGTTTGGAGTGTCGAGTTGGTTTTGCAGAACATGTTTCAGATGTTTCAGCTTCCGTGGACCATGTTGGCCAAGGTTGTATTGGAAAAGATCAGCTTCTTGCTGAGACAAGGGGAGAAAGTGGCCATTGTAGGCCGAAATGGCTGTGGGAAGAGCACACTGGTGCGCGCTCTCGTAAAAGACTTGGACACCAGCGCGGCAGTGGACGGTGATGCGGCAATTACATCAGCTGGGGCTGCGTATTTCCCCCAGCGTGCCTTGGCCAGTCTGCCCAATGCACAAGCAGTCACGACCTTGCAAGCTCCCTTTGAACCTGGCTTTGAAATCCTTTAAACATGTTTCCTGTACAATTAATTACGTATTATATAATATATGTGTGTGTGATAGTGTCTCAGGGTTCAGCGATCCAGAAGGCTTCACATCAGGGCGCATCTAACGCCCTTCATACCCTCTTGGACCTTTAGCATTTGCTCAAGCATGTCCGGAGCCCAAGGACTGGCAGAGGCATTTAATTCAGATGACGGGACTGTGAAGGATGCCCTATATATGTCATGCACCTCAGCCACGAAGGGCTTTATTCAGTGACATTGCACAAGATTGAACAAGGACCAAACTATTCTGGCTGAAGTGCATGTCGGAGAGGAAGAGTTGAAAGTTGAAACATGTGCGGCGTTTGAAATGTGGAGTGGCACAGCGTTTCATTCTGTGTTTTGTTGAGACCATGTGTGCCCGGGACAGGCAAACCGGATGACATTAACAGGGCTGGTGGCATTGATGCTGTTTTGGATCGCTTGCGTCTAGATGGCGTAACGCAAGAGCAGCCGGTTTCAAGCCTCAGCGGCGGTGAGAAGGTCAGAGACCCCAGAGCTCAAGCGGACCTGAAGCCAATTGTTGTCAAAGCCTCCTTCCTTCATCCGTCAAAACTTTCTTGCATGGTTTTTTGTCCCTTTGTGACAGCATGGCTTGTACTTCGAGGCTCGTGTTGCCTTTGCCCAGTTCTTGCTGAATCCTGTTGCATTGCTGGTCCTCGACGAGCCAACAAATCACCTGGACATCCCAACACGGGAACTCCTGGAAGATGCGCTGAAAGCCTTTCGAGGACTTCCAGTACGGCCTTTGCCCTCCACACTCAATGAACTCGACTCAAAAATCGCCCCAAAGCAATTTGTTCACAACCCCTCACTGGGGCCTTTGAGTTTGCTAAGCAAACAAGAGAGAAAGAGACAAAAGCCAGAAGGTAAGGGCGTTTTCAATAAGGACAGGTCCTCGCTAAATAGTATGTTTGTGTTCAATTCCTTTCCTGAGGAGCTGCTTTGGTGGTGAGTCATGATCGGTTCTTTCTGCGGGAGTTTGCTACACGTGTCCTTGAGATTTCGGATGGCATGCTCAAAGACTATGACAGTTGGGATGCATACGAGGTCAAAGTGATAGTTTGCACTCGCGCACACTATTATATAATATTATGAATTGCTCAATGATCAATCATTTTGGCTGCTAAACGAGGCAGCGGCCCCACCACAATGGAAGAGTGCACAGGATGCTGAGGACCGGCTACGATCACTGATAGGGGCAAACGCTGAAACACTGGCCACTTGTTCCGGGTTTGCCAGCCAGACCGCTACATCCATGTTCAATATACATCAATATACACTATGTTCAGTCATGCTCTACAATTCTGCCTTATCAAATGAGATCCCCGTTGAAGCAGGTTAGCCCGAAGCCTGATCGAAGACTGTATCAGCTTTTGAACGCTATTCAAATGTGCTTGAGGGTCATTGAGAGACGGATGAGTCGCTGATCACATGTCAGACAACTTGCAACCTACCTTTCAAGCACAAGTTTATGTATTATTATATAAATAGATTTGCAGACTTGGATGAATGCTTTCAACCTTGGACCACCAGGTGGACTTCATCAAACAAGACGCGGTGGTGAAAAAGGTATGGTCTGGACATTTGGCAGCTTAACTCTTTGTCAGCGGCGAACATCACTGCAATAAGCCAAGACCGACAATCCAAGGAAAGAAGATGTCTCGTCTTCAAAAACGTGAGGGCAAGGCTATTGGCTTGAGACGCTTGTCTTCGAGAACGGAGGCGGAGATTTAGAGAGGGTAGAGGGCTGGTTCAATGCATTGCATCGCTGATCATCAGCGATATCATCCTTGATTTTCCGCAGGAGTTTATGGAGCCTGACAGAAGATCGTCGCTTCACACCACCCCATAGTGAGCAGACGATCAAAGCAGTGCTGTGCCAAAGGCATAGCATAGCATCAAGCAACTATACATACAGGTCTTCTATTGAAAGGTAGCGAGCAGGGACGCAAAGTTCGTACTGTGCTTTCCAGGTCCTGTGGGTCAAAATGACCAGTTCAGAAGTCAGTTTCTAGGCGACAATTTTCCAGCAGTAAGATGCAGCTACTCAGAAAAGGCATGCAAAGAGGTGTGCAAAGCATCGATTCAAGCCAGTAACTCAGTATCTCGGAGATTTTTGAGCACCTGCTGAGGCATGAAACACTTGATGTGTTGTAGATGAAGTTGAAGAGAATGACCGTGCCAGGGGCGCTCAACCTCACGAACAAAGGATTGCTTTGATTGTTGTATGTTTGCACAGCTCCTAATCGATCCTTTGTGACAGGAGTTGCCACGGTGCGTACATGTGCATATATGTGCATACCACAACTTTATTACAACACCTTTGCAGCACTTCACAGCTAACGATATTCATTCACAATGGCTTCTTTGAACCTTTGTGTTAATGGAACGGTTCATGGCACAGGCTCACCACTCAATAGGTTGATATTCTCGGTCGCTTTACAGTATGTCTTCCTCCCAATTCACTCACTAGTGACGCGTTTGTTTGCGTCACTCCAGGAGCAGAAGGAAGACCAGCAGGCAATTTTGCCACAGGCAAGGCAGCAGCGCTGTATTACAATAAACTGTTCTTAGTTTCAGTTGATTTCAGTTGCGCCAATCACAGCCACCACAAAGCAACTGTACTACTGGCTCATCGACTCATGACTTTGTATACAACATTATACAACATGTCGCATGCAAACATGCAAACATGCATGTGAATCGAATCCACTTGCTTACAGAAACTTGGATACGAATTTAGTTTTCAAAATTTGTCCCAAGAAAGGTCTGTGAGGAGAATCCGCCAGCTCCTGCCAAACACAGCGCCGCCCCTACCCCAACCGTTGCGCGGGCCTACTTTAGTTAAGTTTCAGGGCCGCTTTGCCCTATACTATACGTATACTGTATAGTACCAAGCAAGAAAGTTCGGAATAATTGCTTTCCATAATAATTAGCATAGCCCATGGGAGTGCAGAGGGAGTTCCGGAAAAGAATTATATAATTACAAAAGATATCCGAGGTGGCAAATGAGTCAGGACAGATCTACAGAGTAAGAACATGTGAGATCGCTGGGCGCTAGCATGCCATTCTGAAACGAAGGTTTCATGCAATCAGCACAGGTGAGTGCGTCTTGCACTGCAAACCACTGCAAGCACCAAATCGCCATAGAAGCCCCACAGATCTCTCCAAATCACCACAGCTTCACCAAGCATAACGACCAACTACCACAGATGCCAGCCCCTAACTTCTTGCATCCCATGATCAGTTGTCTAATTTTGAGAGGGTTCAGAGAGTTGTTACAAGAGGGTGTTCAGGTGTTGCTTTCTGAGTTTAAAGGTTTTGCACACGTATTCACCACACTTAAATCCAAAGCCATTGTGAAATGTTATTGAGAATATGCAGGAGTTCTCTCTCAGAGATGTATACCGTAGCTGCTGTCAGTACTGAACGTGTTTATACAGAAGTCTTCCATTGTTTTTCAAAAATATACCCATTATGACTTGGCTGGCTGTGGGAAGCACAACTTCAGGATTCGGGATTGAGCAAAGTTGACACAACGGCCCATTTCTATCCACTTGGGCTTTGCATTCAGAAGCATGTCATCAGGCCACACCATGTCAGACATCAGGCGAACATTTCAGACTAACAGTGTAGCATGAAAGCAACATGGGTTTCAATGTCCGCTTGGTCACAATCATAGTAGCCAGTAGTCAGTAGTCGTTGTCACCTCAACAGATTTCTGGTGACCAAGGTGGGTTGTGCACTCATTTGCTGCACAAAGCTTGGAAAACTTGTTTTGCAATAGCTGCTGCTTTAGGCTGTCCGTGTGAAGCCAACTGCAGAGGTGCAGTGGCGAAAATGTAGAAGATTGTGCGGAAAGGGGTCGTCAATCAAGATGAGCACAAGAGTTGCACGGCCATGCTTGATGTGCAAACCTATGTATGAGCCATTGTGCGAATCCTTCACAACATACCGCAACACACCCCTTGCGGAGGTGCACTGCAGCGTCACTGTTCTTTAACTAGTATTCCGAATAGTTTACAGGAGCATAATGAAAGGAAGTTTTGAGCAGAAAATTCATGCAAAATTATGAGTTACGGAAAGTTGTGGATGAGTGTGCCAGGTGAATTACGGTAGTGGACGGAGGCATGAGGTTTGCTAAGCCGGTCCGTGCGCTTTGTTTGGTGAGGGGTACCCGCTCGCTCCTTTAGTACAAAAATGATCACAGACTCCTACAAAACGGTAAAACATCGTCTTTTTGACGTATAGCGTTTGCGAAAAAAGGGCGACTCACCCGGGAAAAGACACGGTTTTAAAACATTGCTCATGCCCTAAGTAGTTTTTCTGGACTATATAATTCTTGTAGAGTAATTAATTTCATTGAATAATTTTAAGTGAGCGGCGGGTAGACGGTCCCTTTACCTTTTTTACCACGGAAGTGCATCGGGGGAACCCTGTAGCCCGAGCAACACTGCTAAACCGGCACAGTCTATGGCGAGCCGTGTTCAGGTGCGGAACAATTGCAAAAACAGCACTCAACGGATTTCAACGACAAATATATAATTAATTACAGTAATTATCGACAATATCACCTCACCAAATCTCGCCGTATCGCATCACAGCACGCCACGACAGGTGATGAGCATGCCATCATCGCATCAAAAATGAACTCCAGTGGCAACACATCAAAGCACGACATCGCAATGCATCACAGATCATCGCAGCAATTACAATGCAGAATCATGTCGCACCACATCAAATCAAACAACTTCAATATGAGAAATTGTATGACGGAGCATCTCCAACACAAACACCTACAGTAGGGCCGGGCTTATTGAACGCTGGCACAGGGGAATCACTGACATCGAACACCAACACTTCCTGTTACTTATTTGTGAAGCTTGTGGCCATGCAGTAGGTGGACAAATCATCAATCTAACCCGGCAAGATTGTCTCCATCCAATCCTCGCAGCCTCATTCCACCTTGGGCATCGCTGACCTGTGACTGGTGACTGTGCTGACCTCCACACAAGGTGCATTGTCATCCCCCATCGAGGCAACACGTCAAGTAGTGGTCAGATTGTGCTTGGGAGTTTTGGAGACGGGCGCATGGAGCAGCCAGCAGAAGATCACACAAATTACACTGGCATAGACCCCACATAGCGGGTGTATAGGGAAAAAGCTCTCAGTGCCTGAGGTAGAAAATCCCAATATCTAAAGGCTTTCGTTGTCAATGAGCGGTGCCAAGGTCATTTTTCACCTTCCCAGTGCTTGCAGTGCAGCAACCGTTTTCCATGCACCCCGGCAAGAAATTCCATGTTGCGAGTCTTTGACACATTGCTGCTTCAATGACCGCAGTGTTTTTTTCACATTTCCGCACCAGCACCCATGCACCAGCATGCCCCAAACAAACGCCGATCCAGCGCCAGCACCCGCGCCAGCACCCAGCACCAGCACTTGCACCGCACCTGCACCAGCACGCCGAAACAAAACGCCTGCACCAGCGCCTGCACCAGCACGGCAAAACGAAATGCCGATCCAGGTCCACACCAGTGAGAAGTAAGAACCCCTTTAGCTGGCAGCTATCTGAGCAAAAACCAAGAGGCAGACGCGAACGAACAAATCGTTTCCCGATGTTTGCTGCAATTTCTGTTGTAACAGGCGTTTACAGACAGAGAACTCAGATGTGTAGTGCTCTTTTTGCCAGGATTCCCGTGCAGAGACTGCACAACAAAGCGCTGCACCAACTGTCACGCAGGCGCATCGCACTTGTATGTATACATGTATGTTAATATAGAACCTTGTAAAGTGTATTGGACCTTACCCTAGGTGATTTGAAAGCTCCAGCAGCCGCGGTAATTATATAGTAATCATGATCAACCACGATGATGTTTTTGTTTTGCGCCGAGTTGCAAGCCTGTCAGCTTTTGGGCCTAACACACAGTTTAGCATTCTGCTGGGAATGCCAGGCAGTCCATACGGAGTCGGTTGCAGAGGTGCAGCAGGAGTGGGGTGCAATGAACAATTGTTCACGGTACATTCCATTGTTGATCCAAGACGAACATATATAGACGAACCTGTATTTTCACTCCATGTAATATGTACACTTTGTACCTTGCACATAGTAGGATGTCATGTAGACTTACCTTCGCAGCTCGCGGCCCAAAACAGGAGTTGCAGCTTAACGGCTGTTTCTATAGGTTATCAGCCGTAGTGCTCTAACCACAGCCATGGACGCTCTTGCTATTCCTGGGAACGGCACATCATCGGTAGCAGTCCCAGCCGGTCTCATGACTGAGCCCACGGTGGATCTAGATGACCCCATGGGTTCAGCTCCTGTCACAGCTTACTTTCAGTTCGTGCAGCAAAACATCCAACAAGTGTACAACGGAAACGAAGACGCTATCATTGCTGAGGCAGAGAGAAGGCACAAAGAGATAATGGGACAATGGCTGGACATGGTAAAAACCAAGTTTCGTCAAGCAATCGATGAGGTAGCGAGCAAGCATCATGAGGAACTCAGTTCGGTAAGGCAACAAGCTCAATCTAGCTACAACCAAGTGCAAGGGGAACTTAGTGCTGCAAAAGCGCGGATCCTAAAGCTAGAGAGTGAAAGGTCCATTGAGGCTGAAGCCAGAAAAGCAGAACTGGACTCCTTGCGCATTCAGCTTATGCACGATTGTCAGCAAACTGTCACTGCCATCACCAGTGGTGCCGAGCAAGGTGTGGCAACGCTTCGTGCAGAGTTCGATGAGCGGGAAACTCAGCTTCGACGTGAGCTACGCGACGCAGAAAATGAAAACTATAGCCTGCAGCAAATGCTCGATGACCTTAAAGCCAAAATGCATGCTGGACCCGAGCTAGAGTACC